CTTTCATGAATCGCGCTAACTGTGGTACTGATTCAAACCATCTACATTCATATCTTATAAATTATCAACCTAGCTGTGTAATTTATTACAGTGTATATTGTATCATTTGTATCAATTTGATCTTGCCTGTAAACTGGCATGCCTCATGTAACAAACTGTTATTTGAGAATAAATTATTATTATTATTATTAATTATTAAGTAAAAATTGTAGACTTTTCTCTTCACCTGTTTCGCGAATGGTTCACCATATTTTTCAATAATTTGTTGTTTGCGCATTCTTTGGATCCATTGAATTTGTATATATTCTTCACTCTGTCTTGGTCATGAAATTGTTGTGTTGTTTTGTATGTTGTGAGCATTATCTAACTTCCATCTACAACAATGCCTAAGAATCTGATGAGCTATATAGTTTATATTTCGCTCTACGAGTCTACTTTATGACAACTATAAACTTAATAAGTTGGGAAGCATGTTGTGCACCAACAAATGTTGTAATTTATAGATCATGCCTGTAAAAATGGCATGTACCTGCACATGCAGAAATATATATTATAATATGTAATATTATTATTATATTAAGTGATTAAGTTTACCTGTAAGTGTTCATCTTTTAACATATGCCAGTAGCAGATGGTGGCAAGGATACCTTTCAAACGTTTCTGCGGTTAACAATCGCCTTAAGTACGTTCCCAATATTTTGTTATGTGTCTTCTATACTTTATGGAAATCCTTTAGCGCACTTTAAAATTCAATCCAGCTTCCGAATTGCTTGTTCATTATAATACGTTGAAACGCCTCGCTTACTTCCACTGAAATTTTACTTGAGCATGCATTACAGACAACACTCATCATTTATTAAAAAAAGTTATTCCGTGAAAAAAAAACTAACTGAAAGAAGTACAACAAATATTTAGGACTTACCGTTGAGTTGACATTTCGTCTTAACCTCTTTGTTTAACAGCGATTCACAAAAACTTTGCGTATCTATAACTTTTAAGGTTATCTTGTCTATTACTTTGTTTTCTGAACCGTTTCAACGATTTATATAAAGGTGTTGACGTTTACTACAGCAGTTGGGATCACAGATCAAGTTAGGAAGCAACGACAGAGCTAAAGTGCACACCACAAAACAAAAATGCTAAACAAATGCTCTTAGCAGTTATTTTTGTGCTTTTACGTGCAGCAAAAGATGAATTAAATATGGAAAAATTTATTACTCATAAGACGCTAATTGTGACAAAAATGCCTTCCGAGCTAACCTTGCACTGGTAACATTGAAGCGCATTTTTGGCCAGTTTGACGGAAGAACTTTCCATACAATCTTCAATAGTTTTATCCGTCCCCATTTAGAGTACGGAAATATAGTACTCCCCCCTCACTCCAAAAGGACAAGATCAGCGTATCCAACGGCGAGCCACGAAATCAGTTCGCGGACTCAAATCTAAGCCTTACGAAGAACGCCTCCATTCACTAGACCTTTACTCATTAGAGTATAGGCGTCTTAGAGGTGATTTATTAATGGCTTATAGTATTCTTAGCACTTCTGGACATCCTCTCAAACACCTACTCAAGCTTAGTTCGAATAATAACCTAAGGGGTAACACTCAGAAACTGGAAACTCAATATAGCAAGACGGGATGTAGACACAACTTCTACTCCTTAAGAGTTGTCAAAAGCTGGAATTCGCTGCCGGCCGAGCTAGTCCAAGCGACTTCTCAGGAGTCCTTCAAGAGGCAACTTGACCTATTCTTAAGGACCAAGGACAGTATCATACTATGATTTACCAATTTCTTTTCCTCTTTTATTGTTAACATACCTAGGTTCCTGCCTGGAGGATTTGGTTATCCCCTGCTACTAGACACGGAAGCCTGTTAAGCGAAAGCTTCTTCTATTCCGTCCACAACCATTTGAACCAATCATTGCAATTGAAATGCAGTATGACCGTTCAAGGTAGTTGAAACGAAAGGGCGGGCAAATTTGAAGGAGTCGACCGATTTTCGCGTGTCGACTGGCCCATGCGGCAGTGGTCTTACTTTCGCTCGTATTTACTTTAACTAATATATTTCTGTAATAACGTCCTTTATGTTCCACAGTCTTCAAAGCATCTATGGTACTTTGATAGGTCGATGGGGTAGTCCACGTAAGGTGCTGACCAAGTGGTGTGACTTCAACGTTAGCTAGTTTGTCACAACATTCACGTCTTACTCGAGTAGGCCTCCAATCATTTCGATATAGATCATCTGCGTTGGGGATCTACAGTATGTTTGTTCATTTATCCTCAGGTCGGTTATACAAGAATGACCCTACGTTAGTCAAACTAATCCCTCCATGATTGTCACATGATGATTTGAACCCCTTCTTATATATCAAATCACAAGTCAGAAATGAATGGGTTCAAAGTTATGTTTGGAGAGCTATCTATATGACAAGAAGCGTTTGGTCTGAGCTGGATAGTAGTTACAAGAAATGTGTAGCATGAGCTGCTCACAGTTCATCCGGAACAGATGCGTGAATGAGAGCATTTGCACTAGAAATTTATATTCATAGTGTTTTTCATCGGCTTTTAATCTTTTCCAACTTTTCTGGAAAGGAAAAAGGATAAAATTGTCGGCGGATGTCGAAATAAACTTGTACGTGCGTAAGGTCACAAAACGTGAAAAACGAAAAATGTGGTATATATGCGTATTGATAACATACGATAGCGTAAAAGAATTTTGTGCATGATTGTTTTTGGATTTTTCTCAAGAAAGTGAAAAAATACAAACATATATGAGCATATCAGAAAATAACATGTTTTTTATTAAATAATGTAAAAGAACGAGATGAAACAAAATATTATGAAAAATCTAAAGGATTCTTCACATGTGATTTCGAGAGACCGTCGTAATGAATGGCGACATACGAAAACGTGTGTACTGTTTCGTAAAGCAGGTTGTACGAAAACACCAGTTGACTGCGGTCTAACGGTTAGGTGTCATATGGTTCAGAAGCATCACTTGTAAACATACTGGATGTGAGAACCCGTTAAAATCGCATCACGGTGTCTTTGCTACAACGGGGAATCCTGCACGTGTGTTTGTCACGCCGTGTTCGTGAAAGTCAGCTTCTGCGCAGAATACAAGAATGGCATGAGATGAAAGGTGGGAAGGGTCCTAATCTAAACAGTTTCGGGGTCTGTTCAGTCATAATGAATATAAAATATACAAATGGGCGAAACAATCCGTGAACACAAATATAATATAGGCATATATAAAAACCAAAATAAATAATGAAACCTAAGCAGAAAAATAGAGAACACACAAGCGGCCTATTGTCTGATATACCGGATCACATCGTGCTCAGAGTTAAAGATACCACGGTAAGTCGAAGTTGAGTTAAAAGGAATCCATAATCTGTTTAAACATTTGCCGCTTCGGTGCGAACGGGATAAATTCGTATTATCCCAAACAAGGTGCGGAGTGTAGTTTTGCAATTGAAAACAATTATTCACGGTATTCAAAAACTTTTAGACAGATGAAGAGAAATTATTTTTACTATGTTTCTGCATACCCGAGAAAAGAATGAGGGGGAAATAAAGGCAAACTCGGGAAAGCAAAGGGGACGATGAGGGAAGGAAATCTATGGACAAATTTATGTAAAGTATTTCGTTTGAATATGCCACTTAATTATCATGCATTTTCAGAATTCTCTCAAAAAACGTTTTGTTTGATAACACGTGGTTAAACTGCCTATTGTGTTATTGTCAATAATTCAATTATATTCCACATAAAAGTGCTCTTTATTTCATAGCACTTGACGGCATTTACTTCGACTTCTCAAAAGCTCTTGATAGAATCAGACATATATGTCTTTACAATGGACTCAGACGATCGGGTATGAAATCACCTCTAATTGGCTGGTTCACTTCATGTCTAAAAAATCGACATTTTAAGGTCAGGGTTAAATTCGCATTCTCTCAGGCTATGGAATGACCTAGTGGGGTCCCCCAGGGTTGAGTACTAGGGCCTCTTCTTTTTTAATTTTTATAAATGATGTTCCACAACAAGTATCGTCTGACTTATCACTTTTTGCTGATGATGGGAAACTTTGGAGAGAGAGATACGCAACCAAAAGGATATAATGGCACTTCAAGAGGATGTGACTCGACTTCAAAGATGGGCAGACGACAACGGACTTACCTTTAGCACTTCAAAGTGTAAACTAGTCCATCTGAGACATGTTGCAGACTACAGTTACAACTTGGGAAACTCCTCTCTAGAAGTATCCCAAGTTGAAAAAGATTTAGGAGTGCTGGTACCCCATTATTTAAAATCTTACGCTAACTGTGACAAAATGCCTTTCGAGCAAACCTCGCATTGATAACATTGAAGGGCATTTTTGGCCAGTTTGACAGAGAAACTTTCCACATGATCTTCAACAGTTTTATTCGTTCCCATTTGGAGTACGGAAAAATAGTATTTCCTCCCTCACTTCAAAAGGATAAGGACACTCTGGAGCGCATCCAACGGCGAGCCACGAAATCAGTTCAGGGACTCAAATTCAAGCTTTATGAAGAGCGTCTCCAGTCACTTAACCTTTACGCACTAGAGTATAGGCGTCTTAGAGGTGAATTTCTAGTGGCTTACAGTATCCTCAACTCTTCTGCACATCCCCTTAAACAGCTACTTAAGTTTAGCTCCCAGAAACTAAAGACACAACTTCTACTCCCTAAGAGTTGTCAGATTCTGGAATTCGCTGCCGGTTGAGCTGGTCCAAGCGACTTCCCAGGAGTCATTTAAGAGGCAACTTGACCTATTCTTACGGACTAAGGATAATATCTTACTATGATTTACCAATTCCCTTTTGCTCTATTGTCGTTAATACACCTAGATTCCTGCCTGAAGGTATTGGTGATCCACTGCTATTAGATGTGGAATCCCGTTAAGTGAAAGCTTCTTCTATTCCGTCGACAACCATTTGGACCATTTGAGGTCATAGTCAATCAAGGTGACGCCGGACTGATGACCTTGGACCGGTTTAAAACTATAAGCTGTAGGTCAGACGTCGGCGTTCTTGTTTTGGCATTGGTTTTTGTAATAAGCGATATGGGTCGTTCTTTGCAGTCCGAAATACCGAAGAGAGTTAGCTCCATCTCGGATTTCGGGAAAGATGCTATTAGGTCACACTCCGATGTTATCTGGAAGTACACTACTTTGTGGCACCTTCGAAGGTGATCACCGTTAAATATTGAAATAACTTCCAAAAGGTGCATAAAGAAGAAAAAACTCGTCGTGAGTCTGAAAGATATCCCGTTTGGTGGCACTTTTAAGGCGTATTTTCATATATTTAAGCATATATCCTCGAAACTCTTTCAGGTTTTAGTATGTAATTCGTGTTCTTTCAACTAAGTGAACTCATATTGAATGCTTCATGGTTAAATATTATTATTATTATTATTATTATTGGGACAAATATTGGTACAAAGGGGCACCGAATACATATGCGCCACACAAGTCACTTGATTTGTGTGTGTGCTGTGATACTGCTCGGGTGCCCAAACCGAAGTAGGATGATTACATCTAAATAATACATTAGTCATTCGTATGTCTGATACTCTAGTTTATCGGGATTTATTAATCAGCAGTCAAGACAGTCTTTTGTTCGTATTCTGTCATGTAATCAAATTTTCCAACCTGAGTTTTACAGAAATTCGCTTAAAAGGAGGGAATATTCTCAACGTTTGAAATTGGTATAGAGAATCAATGACTCTTACATCCATTTTCGCCCTAGTCCTACCTTGTATCATCAATTTCTAAATATTCGTGCACAGTGTAGTCTAGTCTGGTTTTATTGTACTGTAACTAAATGCCCAACTGTTTAGAGAACGCCCAAGTTTTAGAACAGTAAATTGGACACTATTAACAACTAACAGGGTCTTTTATGATTCTGAGTACAGGTGTTGGTGTCTTTATTTTTTTCTAAGTTAATTGTATTTTTGGTGAAATATTTCTGTCGGAAGTCGTTGTTTGTAGTGCTATGATCAATTGTCATCAACAACCGCTTCAACGTTGGGAAAGTGTTCGAGATAGTGTATCTAATCCTTAACAACGTAGTTTGTGAAAGACTTATTCTTCATCCGTTTCATACAGATTTGTTTCATTTCGTTCACTGGATTTATGCAATGGGAAGGTCATCGGTAAACAATTGTCTCACATAATGTCTCACTTTTTTATTATTCATGCTTTTCACAATTTTTTTTATAGATTTTGCGTTCGAACATTCCTATTTTTGTGTCGTGGTCTTTATATACTTGGTTGCGTTCTCAGCAGTAATGAAACCTTAACAGCTGCAGACGTAATTGGAGTGTTGTGTTTCTACTTTTTGTTAATTTTTCAGCCTTTGAATCCAAGTTGGGTTTTTCTAAGCACCTTAAGTTTTTCATCTGTCTCGAAACTGAAATAACGTGTTACCAGTTTTGCACTTCTGGATACAGATGAGCCTACCGTAAATTTGCCTGTGGGTAAGATTAGTTTCTGTTCTCACATAAATCACTGTGTTTGGATATCGCTTTCTTTCTTTAATGTCACTGCTTAAGAACTGTCCAGCGATTTAGAAACATTTTTCTTGTGAGGAAAATGTCATTCTTGATTATGAATGTAGTTATAAAACAGAATCATAAATTTCAATTAGGTTGCAGAATTTTTTGAATGATAATCATATTAAAAGTAAACCAAATAACACGGATACCCGAAATCACTACAAGAAAATAACGAATGGCAAATGCAATTTCCTGAGGAATGTTTGTTGACGCCTTATCTTCTGTTGCTTGATAGATGTCAAATACGCTGTTTCAGACTAAATCAGTTAATAAAGCCAACAATAATATACTTACTATCTTCACGTAACCTATTATCATCATTATGAATTTTTAACAAAACAGGTCATACATCAGTATTTTATTTAATAACAGTCTTTTGTTGCATTTACAACGTATTCATAAGTTTGGACTCATACTGCCTAAGTCTAGGATAACGAAAATAATAACTTTCTTCCTCTTCGGGAAAGTTTTGAAAATCGTTTTATTCCATGCAATATCAGAGTACTTTATGAGCACAGAAAAGTCCAACAAATGTTGCAGTCACTGAATGCAACCTCCTCTCACTATCTCTGTTAGCACTGACTAAAAGTTACAGGTTTTGAAAAGATGAATACTACTGACCAATATGAATGATTTCTCTGCGTGGATTTGATCATTACTTACATATATTACTAACATGTGCAACTTGGCTTTATTTTAGTACTAAGATAAACGTTTTTGATGAAAGGTATTCAAAGTTTATCTAGTAACCGTATAGCACCACAATTTGCAAAAACTTAGCGGAAAATATATCCCCGTTATTTTCGATCTTCATCCCAGCTTCGTCATATGATAGGAATTTAAATGAAGTCATGTATGGATAGCATTATTTTCACGTTTTACCTTTTTAAAGGTCTTGTAAATATGTGCTGTTCATCCTGATGTTGCAATATTTTGTGATGAAATGGTCGTGAGTTTATAGATGTGGTATTTATTCAATAATTTACGTGAATTGATCACGTGACAGCTGTTCACAAAATAATCTTACGACATAGATTTCCGGATGTACTAATGACAGTAGGTCACTTGAACAACCAGAACGCGGTCTATCTACCAATCGCATATAGGAGCAGCATTCAGTTTGATAGTGTTGTAATTCATAGTTAGGTTTCCTATACGGTCCAGAAGTACAACTAAGACTATACTAGATCTTATGCAACGATGAGTATTGCATGAGAATGAGGAGATAGACTAAACTTTGAATTGACGCTTTTATATCTCAATAAATGTAAATGAACTATTCTAACATCACAATGTATATCATATTATTAACAGGATCTTGGTAAAGATATAGCAGCTAGCAAGAAGGAGGTTCAACTACACTCAGCATCTCACTCTCTGATTACTATACAGAAGTCACCGTATTATTTTTAGTAACTGGTTTTTGGTCAAAATTGACAGCTCACAACAGCTAAATTAATATGTCACACCTTGATGTCTACGTTTATATTAGCGATAAAGACCTCATACTAACATTCAGAATATGGTCAAATAACCTGTTTATTATCCTTATATAGCAGTGGGTTTAATTGAAATTGTGTAACTACTGAGTTTATATTAGCCAGTTTGAATAAAAGATACTTCAGTGTTCCTAACTCAGTGTCGATATGTTTTGCCCATATTATATTATGTTCAGTCTTCTGTAGATCCTAATGCGGAGTTGTTGTGAAGTAAGATATAAAGATAATAATTTGCTTACTGATATTGAATTTTTCGGTTCTTTTTGTTATAATAACATAGTATACGCTTTTCTTCTGTGTTTACATTGATTCTTTACAACATTTTGGGATAGCTAAAACAATTCTTTTTTAGAAATATTTCTCTAGCTTTTGCAACTCAGTCCTATTTTAGAAGGACGTTTGCTTAATACACTTGAAATAAGATTTGGTTTTCTTCCCGTTTTTACCCTTTTTCACAAAATAATGTTGGAGGTAATGTGTCGTCTTTTTTCACGTTTTCCACCACGTTTTATTGAGATGAATCTTTCAATTTTTCATTTTCAGGACTATTGCTCTAGTAATGAAGTACATCAGATCTTCAAATAATCGTTTCCCTAGTAAGTTCTCTTTCTCTTAAATCTTACATTTCTCTATTTATGTAATCTTTAAATATTAAATAGTGATTAAATGTTTAAAATATAGTTGATTTAGAAGGTAATGTAAGACATAATTGTCATTCATGTTGCATTTACTCCTAATACAATATTAATCTCAGCGACGATTTGAATACTCTGAAAATTACATTCTGTTACTTTTGTAGACCAATCAAAATAATCGCGTATTATAAATTTAGAATTTTAATTCTTTGAATTTAATGAGACTGGAACAAAGGGATGGAGAAGGTCTAAAGTGTCTTCTTTAAGTAGTAGAACTATTACCACAAATTCACCATCGAATTCTTTGGTTCTTAATCCCTTTGTTCCATGTTAAGTTTATTTTACTGAAGATTATATTTGCTCGTTTGCAAACTATTTGATTAAAATAAACATAATATTGAAAATGTTTACATTGGCAAGAATAGCATTTACCACGAAATCATTATAAGTGTATTACGATCAACAGATGTGGGTTACCTGAAGAAAAAGCTGTAAAGGATATTTGAAAGAACTAAAGATTAGTGAGTAGATTACTGTTTAATTCGCTTTTCAAATTTTTGGCGATCCAAACTGTTTTTTAACAGACAGAAACACAAATCGAATTCAAATTCTACTTCGATTTATTTTAGTCATATCTTTAGTCGTAACATAGTCGGAAAACTTGAGCAAAAGTTAGGTTAATATAAACCTTAAAATAAACCTTTTTTTCAAAGATATCAAAAAGTTCGTAAAAATACGTCACCCAAAACATTTCTCATCCCATCATTTTCCAGTTTCATAGGTTTATTTTTCATAAGCATCCGAACTTATTCGTTTTTGGTTTAGTTATAGTTTCTCTTTCATTTAGTTCATTTTCAAGCCCAGAAAAGTATTTTTTAAAAGTTTTTCTGGAACTAGCATATCTCCAATTTTCTGATCTGCTAAGATCCAGTTTATTCGGTCATTTTAAAATGTGATATATATAATATTAAATCTTACTTTGTCCATCATTTGTGCAAAAGCTTCACCGAATTGCCTTCATAAAACTATTTAAGTTTACTTCTAAGCGTGAAGATATCCTGTTTGATGTTTTGTTTAAAAATGAGGTGAATTCTTCAGACTTTTACTTTGGAAATAAATCTTTAAAATTTGAAATATTCCTATATTGTAAATTTAGAACAACATATATTATTAAACCAATCAAAGTAGTTTATAAGTCAATGATAACAATGGAAAAGATTACATAATAAGTAAGATGTGAAAAGTACAAATTGATAGTGTGACAACAGGTGCATTAGTTTTGATAAGCAATAATAATAAAGGTTCAAATCAATGTTACATAATCTGAAATAGGTCAATGATTAGAAAAATATAGAAACTGCGATAACAATTATAAAATTATAAGATGACGTAATAAGAACTACTTTGATTGGTTTAATAATTTCGTATATGCATATAAATATTACTGTATATTAGAGTAAAGCCTGATGAGGATCTAATCGAAAACAATATTGTTCGCTTATATATGTTGTTCTAAATAAATCTTTAATGTAAGCGATAATTTCATTGATCTTTCAGTATTATTAAATAATTAGGTGAGATTCATAATCGCCTTCAAGAAACAATAAGTATACGCCCAGATGAAATTTTTTTTCAACAATTTCATACTCAAAATTTGTGCAATCATATTTATATTCAGAAATTGATCAGAATAACAAGTTGTGCACTTTACCATGAATGCGTATAGTAAGTCACCAAACAGACCTAAAAGCATGGAAAATATAAAATCCTAGAAGTAAAGTGCGACGCTGGTTCAACTCCAGTACGGAGAATAAATTCCTTTGAGACTACGCCTTGCTGACAAATGTCAAGTAGCACGAAGCCTATTCTCAGGATTTCATGTTAACCAACTCCAACCACCAAACTGTTTAATTCAGTTTAGAATTTTTTAACCGACATTAAGATTTCCCTATAACCTCTAGTGTGTTTAGTCACAAATGACTAGTAAAAATTCTCAATATGATTAAAAAAACTCTAGACTGAATTAAATTACTCTTTTCTCAAACAAATAATCACGAGAAGAATCCACCGTTCTTTTCGGCATGAAGTTAATTTAGAAAATAAAGTGGCATGTTTCTGTGAGTTCATTAAGTTCAAAGACAAAACTGCTAAGGATGCTAAATCCCATGAAATCACTTGGCAAACGTCTCATTTTTGCAATTTTATTTTGAAAATTCGAATTTCTCATTTTCGCGCCACAAACACTCGCTCTTACCTTCAGATTGTATTTCCCTTTTGGAAGGATCTTAAATACCGTTGGTTTGTTTCCTCATTTAATACGCTATTTTGTGACGTTTTCCAAAGATATGTTCATACTGCATCTATACTCTTGAGTTATGTGTTTGTGCGTGCGTGCTTCCAACTGTTTGTGGAATATACTTTTCCCTTGGCTAAATCTGGTCTTCTCCCTCTTGTTAGCAGGGCTGGGGCTCAGTGAATAGTTTAGATTGTCTTGTTGTGTTGTTGACTCTCGTTTCATTTACTGGTTCAGGTGGTATCTTAATCTCTTCAAACGTAGCGAAAACATTACGGTTCGTGACACTCATAAAGTTTGTCCATTTAGTCTCATAAATAATACGTTTACTTTTTGACTTTTGAAAGTCCTTTATTTTAACATTTACCATAAAGACAGTGGTGTCATAGTTGTTAAAGCATTCAACTTTCAGCTATTTGGTTGTGGTTTCAAATTTCGTTTAATAAGTCTCTTGGCAGTAAATAACATTATTTAGTAACATTATTTATAAAATAGGTACTTAAATATGTTTACAATGGCCTATACTCAGTCATACACAGTACGGAATCGGACATACTTGTGTGTAAGTCCAAGTTGCTAAACCGTATCAACACGGCAAGGTGAAGTTATCAAGACAAATCCCATAGTAGTAGAAAAGATTAAACATAGACTGTGATTCGAAAAAATAGAATCAGTTTAACGAATAAAAGGTACACGACATGTATTTGGTTACTAAGTTACGTTAATTATTTTGGTGTTGTTTCTGAAATATTCAGATGCAGGTGAGAAATACAGAAAGCTTTCAACCCTCGAATCATCGAGTATATCTGTCTATCCTGTAGCTGATCTAATGAGAGCACGTGCTGAATTTATTCACCAATGGAATGTATCGATGTCCAACCATTCTGTAGCCAAGTCAATCAAAAGTGATCACTACAAATATCCACCAAATATAACTATGAGAAATTATCTAGAATATCCATTTCATGATAATGCACCGGAAGTATTTCCGTTTCTTCGGACTACAAAAAACATAAACACAACCCAAGTGGTGAAGTCTAAAGTTGTAGAACAGTCACTTAAACGTCAGAAAGTTGAAATTCAAGTTGATAATATATCTGATAAAGACTTTAGGCGTGTTTGTATGCTGCTCACTGATAAGGCTTGTTTATTTGAAGATTCTGTACAATTAGCTAACCAATATCAGTGCATATCAGCATGCTATTTTATTTGTGATTATTGTGATTACATTGGTAAAACAGAGAATGATGCCCAGATACATTTGCAACAAACAAATCATTTGACATGCAGTAAATATTCACCTTGCTATTATACAAATGATTGCAATGACATGTCAAGTGAGCTGCAAAAGCCACGTGTTATCTCTAATAATTCAGACAGAATCTATGGTTGGCATGTTGGTGATACAGTAGTGTGCTGTCCTACTTGTAATTTACCATTCTTGGATAAGGTAATTTCTTTGGATAAGTTGTCTCATTTTTCCACAAATGGTAAATACTTACTTTCATATGACTCGGTGCTTAGAAATGACCTACTAACATCTAATTTGTTTCAAAATTATAACCGCACTTACCGTGAAAATCTTGAGCAAAGTCTCTTACTTTGAGAAACATTCTACTTAGTGTTGCTGCATTCCGTTGACCTTGTTTCGATTTCTTGATATTAGTCTGTTAGTTTTTGTATGGTAGTAAGTGCGATTCTCTTACACCGTATATTTCACACATTTTGCTAAAGGACCACCTTACAAAGCGTAGTTGTAGGAAGAATAAGGGAGTCTGATTAAACGACCTGTCACCAGTTCCTGTCAAGGATAGAGGTAACATACGAATAAGAAAATGAACTAGTTGTCTAAAAGGTTTAATAAATGGAGTCTCCTGTCACTTCTCTCATTTTAGTGGAGTTTTGTTCTCTGAGCTGGATGGTTTGGTCGTGGAGCTTTCATCATTCTTCTGAACGACATCATCAGCACAAACTTCAAATAGAAGTGAAGTGTTCGAATTTCTCCATATATGTTTCACAGCTTGTTCTGTGCACCTCGATGTTGATTGGTTCTTGTTGACCTTAAATTTATCATTGTTTACTTCTTTGTTTTGGTTGTGTCTCCCATTGGTTTGATTTTTGTTCCTACATTTATGCATGATTTCCCTGATTGGTTGATAAATTGGATTGATTTCAATATGTTTGTTGATTGCTGATTGACCTGAGTGCCAGGCTTCTAAAAATTCTCTGGTATTTTTGGAGTTTCCTCTGTCTAAGATTTCTACATTTTCCCAATCGAATGAGTGTCCGTAGTTATCCACGTGTATTGATATAAGTGAAGAGATATCATGGTGTTTGACTGCTAATTGATGTTCATGTAAGCGTAGATGGAAGGGGCGTCCGCTTTGTCCGATGTAGTGTTTGTCGCAGTTGGGTTCTTATGCTGTGTGCCCAAATCAAGCACAAAAATCAACAAAAGGATCACCCTACCGTACATAAAAGGAATATCAGAAACCGCAACGAGACTGCTGAAAAACTTCGGGATAGGTGTGGCACACAAACCAACAAAATCACTACAATCAATCCTATGCAAACCAAAGGATGAAATAACAAAGGAAAACAAATCAAACATCATCTACAAAATAAATTGTACCAACTGCGACAAACACTACATCGGACAAAGCGGACGCCCCTTCCATCTACGCTTACATGAACATCAATTAGCAGCCAAACACCATGATATCTCTTCACTTATATCAATACACGTGGATAACTACGGACACTCATTCGATTGGGAAAATGTAGAAATCTTAGACAGAGGAAACTCCAAAAATACCAGAGAATTTTTAGAAGCCTGGCACTCAGGTCAATCAGCAATCAACAAACATATTGAAATCAATCCAATTTATCAACCAATCAGGGAAATCATGCATAAATGTAGGAACAAAAATCAAACCAATGGGAGACACAACCAAAACAAAGAAGTAAACAATGATAAATTTAAGGTCAACAAGAACCAATCAACATCGAGGTGCACAGAACAAGCTGTGAAACATATATGGAGAAATTCGAACACTTCACTTCTATTTGAAGTTTGTGCTGATGATGTCGTTCAGAAGAATGATGAAAGCTCCACGACCAAACCACCCAGCTCAGAGAACAAAACTCCACCAAATTCATCCACCTGAGCTACAAATCTTCTCCAATTCTCTCATTTTAGTTTTGTCTCAATGGCCCATATCTATGCTAATATAATGAATCTCCTTTCACTTGTTCCTAACGTTGTTATTTCATCCTATGTAACTCATCAAAGTATTTCTCGCTACAAAATGCTTTTGTTTTTAAATAAACAATAAAAAACACGAAGTAAATTCCGGCATGTCTTCATAAAACGAATATCTGAAACCATCGCAGTGAGTCACATAATAGTCACTAGTTCTACCCAACTAACTTGACTTATGAATTCGTGAAACAACGTTCTGTTATTATCGACATGGGCTTGTAATGAGTTGTATAAACTCCTTATAACGCCTACATCAAAATCATTTAACTTTCGTGTAGATAAATTCTTTTCTGGTCAAGCATCTTGTAACTTACTCTACATATACTTTTGTTATTTGACGTTGTCAATTGTTCACTTGTAATGTTTAGTGTGTTTATATCTATCCTCTTTACTTACCTATTTTATACGTTTTATTTTCACATATATGTATCATCCATACTTTCGAGTAGTCTGCTTAGAGGCCTCTTCTTACTTTCCATGTCTCTGCGTTAAGTAATACGTGGAATAATTCCTTCCAGAATATTTTGGATTTGGATTTTTTTTTACCACAATAGCTCAAGCATATTAGCTTAAGTATTATCTGAAAAATTAATTGAGGAGTTAGAGTTAATTAAGGTTCGTTATCATAGAGTCAATGCGGTGCCTTAAGTCATAGCTTGTTTTAAGTAAATTCATTGTGTTAAAAGCAAATTCTGTCACGTAAAGGCAGTGGGTTAATCATCGTTATTCGCTATATTAATGTATCTTTCACTCACTATGAACTACGTTAGTCTTTTTTTCTTAATTTTCGACTTAATATATAGGACGTATGTTGTGTAAGTAATTTTATTGTTTTCACTCAAGTAGTTAACATCTAATTTAGATCCCTCTACTAATGATTGTTAATTTTTTAACTAGGTTCACATAAACTGGTACCCGACTGTATGTAGTTCAAATAGTTATCACAATGTCCACATAATTTCTGATTAAATATTTTGTGTTACTATTCGAATCTTTATTACCAACGATTTATATTCAACCAAATCATATTTCAATCAACACTTAAAACGAGTATGAAAGTTAATAAAACATCGTGTGAAAGAACTGGATTTTGTTAATTTACTGTTGGTTCATCATATATTAAGTAGAGCAACACTGCAGGGCTACTAATTGAATGTTCATACATGAATGAGTTAATCATATTATTTGTTTGTCTGTAAAATGATAGAACGCAGATACAGCATTGTTTATGTGTTCACTTTTAAACCGCATCATATGAAACAAAGAGGTCTTTGAGGAAATTTGAAAAGTTTTATTTCTAAGACAGTGAAGTACACTTTTGGTTGAATTGAAACAATTTATTCACATGCAAACTGAATTTATTTCTGTAAAAGATGATTACTCCAAAATTTTCTATTCAGTGTTAATAATCATTTCTAAGGAAAGTGTTATCCTCTGGAGTTTCATTAGTTTGGCTACTGTCTAGTTATTATTTATTTATTTATTTTACATTAGTTGATCAACTGTTTAACCACGTTCTAATTTGATTGCTTTCGTTTTTTCCAGATTATGTGTGCATATCACCACTGCTTACAACATACTGAAAACCAATCTCTCTTTACTTACGGGAAGGTGTTGATTGTAAGAGTTTTAAAAATTCAAGAACCACTGGTATGTCCTAGTTGCCAACAATATTTTCATACATTAGATAAAATTATGAATCATTGGATTACTTCATCTCATTGTAATTCACCATTTATGCCAATTTCAAACAATAAGGAATGTATAGATGCTCTTTGTGTTCTCTCTGTATCATGTAGCATCTGTCAACGTAGTTTTACAGCAGTTCCATCGTTGGAAATAGAAGCTGATCATCCTGGTCAGAAGAGAAAACATCCGTCAAACAGAGAAAATACCTACAGGTCACCAGCTTCTTGGGCAAAAGATTTTGGTCATTTTTGTATTCGTCATGCCTTTGAACATATAAATCAGGGTAAATTTCCTTTGTGTAGCTTGAAAATACGGATTATAAGTGTACCGAAATCTGTTAACTGTCTTCCTCCCATCACTAATACAAATCATTCGAGCAGATTGCATTTTAACCTCAGCGAATGTAAACGTCTTATTTCATATCTTGAAAATCATGAATGGAATTCCTATTTACTTAAACAGGCTCAGAAAAGCTTTAGAGATTTATTTTTCGACGCTGCTTCCTATGTCTCATAAATAAGTTTTTTTCATACCTCCTCCAAGTAACTTCTTTTTTCAAAATGAGCATTTATATTGTTCTTATCCGTATCTTGTGTAATAATAATAATCTGTAGTTAATTTAATTTTTCCTCTTTAAGTTTGTCTTTATGGATAGAAACTGTACTGGATACGAGCAGATTTATGTACCAATATATGTTGTGTTTATGTACTTTGAAGGAAACGTTTATTGTGGTCGTTTGTTTCTGATGACTCTATCACTAATCTTCGTATTATCTTGTAACCTCCAACCCTGTTTAACGCATTCCATGACTATTTTCTAAGAGACAGTGTTGTAGACTTCTTATTCACAAGCTCTAAATTGCTGCTGGGGCTCTTTTATCTAATGGTTTGTTTCGTGACTTTTCGCGCCAAATCCACTAATTAATTTAATTATAATATAAAACGCTGTGCATTACCATATCATCTTGCAGTGGTAAAATAATTAAATCTCACGAAATTATACTGTAACTAAGGATGCATAGAAGGCTTTATCCATTTGATAAACTAGTAGGATTAAATAATCAGGTTTTAAAAACCACGTTTGGAGATTTGATTTTCGTCTTTGTGATATTTGAATATCTAACTTTCTTGCCTTTGAATATCATAGTTGCGATAATATAAGTGGCTAGTTTAACACAACCCTACTCTCTGTTCAAATCCTAGTTTTTTTCGTTCGGAATTATATCCCTAACATTGAGTCTGTTTATCAATAGTAGGACATCAAATATCTAATCTAATTTTATTGATCCAAGTACTTTGAATTGCAGAGTGGTGATAAGACGACTCTCAAAACTCGTTAGATTTGTTAAGTATTCAGTTGAATTGTCAGTGTCTGCTGAAACATATGGTGTAGATAATGTCACTGGAATCATAAACCGATAAATGTTAGGTCATTATTGAAAACCTGCAAGCACTAAACGACCGTTTCACTCTGGTGTGGGACTCCTCAACAGTGCTCATTTGCGATCCCCCACTCTGGATTCGAACCCAAGACCTTCGGCCTCGTGAACGTTTAACCTTTAGATCACGGAGTCGAAATCCAACGGCGTTATTGTCTATCTTAAACCAATCCAAGATGTTGCACGATCACCTGCCGTTGTTGATTTCAATGAAATCCAATAATCTCCGCAACTCCAAAGTGAAGATTTCGATAATATTTGTGTTGGGGATGATAGATCCCCAAACTCATATTTTTAAATTTTATCTTATCGATCAACTTATTGATTAAATGTTTAAACATTTGTATTGGGGTCAATTGATGAACTGATCGATTAAATGTTTGTATAGCAGTCAGTTTATGAACCTATCAATTAGATGTGCAAATAGGTCAATTGATGAACTATCGATTAAATGTGTTTAAAATTTTCCTATGACAATATCGATTGTAAATATTGTATAAATACGCGTGAGTTGTGTGTTTGACTTGACTTATTATCTGCTGTGTGTCTGCAGAATACACTTCTACACCTTACCCAGACTTCTTCATCGAGTTAGCAGAGTTGGGGACAACGAACCAGAATAGCTATCGAGTCGCTGAGTCACTGATCCTTCGTTCGTTGAGTAAGACGCATCAGTAATAGCATTCAAGCGAATAACAAATCATAACAAATTGGCGACGGTGGTTTTTGAATTATGGACCCTGCAAAACTTGAACTGTTACTTGAGCAGCAGCTGAAATTGATGCAAATGTTGATGGAGACCAAGATTACGCCTCCTTTACATCCAAACACGTTTAGTTCGACCACAGCACCATCGGTTGATGGCATCGCAAATAGCATAGCTGAATTTCTTTACGATCCTGATGCTAATGTTACTTTCGAGATGTGGTTCAGGCGTTATGAAGATCTATTTAAATTTGATTTCGCCAGTCAAGATGATGCTTGGAAAGTGCGGCTGCTACGTCGTAAACTGGGTGCAAATGAGCTGGACAAGTATTGCAATCTGATCCTGCCGTTGAACCCACGTGACAGATCATTTGAAGACACAGTTCGATCATTAAGTCAACATTTTGGCGATAATTCGTCACTGTTTAATACCCGTTATCGTTGCTTGAAGCTAACTATGAACGAAGATGATGATTTTCTTACGCATGTAGGCGTCGTCAACCGTGAATGCGAACGCTTCCGGTTAAAGTCCTTGACTGAAGATCAGTTTAAAGCCCTGATACTTATTTGCAGCCTGCAGCACCAAAAGTTTAGTGACTTACGAACAAGACTACTAAGTCGTTTGGATCAAGAGCCGAAACTCACCCTGAGTGATATAGCTAATGAATATCAACGTCTCATTAATTTGCAGCGAGACACTTCTATGGTCCAGAGTGGTGGGTCTAACCGATCTGAAGTACGGGCGGTGCAACAAACACCTTACAAAAACAAATACGTCCCCGCTTCATCCAGTCCATCTCACTCCAGCCCGAGACGACAGACCAAAGCAACTCCTCCTGCTCCTTGCTGGCAATGTGGTGCATGGCACTACGTTCGAAACTGCCCATTTAAGCAACATCGATGCAAGAAGTGTAAGGTTATTGGTCATAAGGATGGGTTTTGTCTGAGGAAGAAGACTCCAAGTCAATCCAGAAATACCAAAAAGACCCTAGATCCCGCACCAATTCATTGAGCTTAGTATCTTCGTGTCAAAGCTCATCACCAGGTCAGAGGAAGTTTATTACTGTTAACATTAATGGGCATTCATCTAGATTGCAAATAGATACAGCATCAGATGTCACTATCCTCTTTCGTAAAACTTGGACCAAAATGGGCAGCCCAAACTTGCAGTGTACAACGCAAAAGCCTCGTACTGCGTTTGGTAATTACCTTCACCTGCTTGGACAAATGGAATGTACAGTTACTTTCCGTGATTTGGCATTTGTTGGGGTATGCTACATAACACCAGCTGATCTAAATTTGCTCGGGTTAGATTGGTTTGATCACTTAAATTTAGCTGATGTCCCGTTGAATACCATATGCAACCTGGTATCACAACCCCAACTGCGACAACAACCACATGACTTGGAAGCATGCACGAGGAACCTAGTGACGCAATTTTCAACTATTTTTCAACCTGGATTGGGTCGCTGCACTGCCATGAAAGCAACACTTCGATTGAAAACTGAAGCTAAGCCTGTTTTTCGCCCAAAGAGACCTGTCCCTTATGCAACATTACAAACAGTAGATGAAGAATTGAACCTCCTTCAACAACAAGGAGTTATTAGTCCCGTTTCCTACTCTGCATGGGCAGCACCTATTGTGGTTATTAAGAAAGCCAACGGCACGACACATATTTGTGCTGACTTTTCAACAGGTCTCAATGCAGCTCTGGAACAACATCATTATCCCCTGCCTGTTCCCGCAGACCTATTTACCATGCTGAATGGGGGAAGATTTTTCGCTAAGCTGGATTTAGCTGATGCTTATTTGCAAGTGGAAGTAGACGAAGCATCAAGAGAGCTGTTAACTATCAATACCCATCGTGGTTTATTCCAATATAACCGTCTACCTTTCGGGATCAAAACTGCACCATCTATTTTCCAGCAACTAATGGATACTATCCTATCAGGTATCTCGGGAGTCGCGGCTTATTTGGATGACATTCTAATTGTTGCGACGACATTAGAACAGCTACAAGAACGCACGACATTGGTACTGTAACGCATCAGTGACAACGGTTTCCGGTTACGCCCAGAGAAATGCCAGTTTTATTTGCAGTCGGTAAAGTATTTGGAGTTCATTTTCGACGCCGACGGCCGCAGGCCGGATCCTGAGAATATCCGAGCTATCAAACTGATGCCAACTCCCACTAATGTCTCATCGCTACGTTCCTTCCTGGGACTTGTCAGCTATTACTCAGCGTTCGTTCCATCGATGCATGATATTCGCGCTCCACTGAATAGCTTACTGCATAAGAACAGCTCTTGGAACTGGACTAAACAGTGTGACGCTGCCTTTTGTAAACTGAAATCCATTATTAGTTCAGAATTGCTGTTGACACACTACGATCCAGCCATGCCGATCATTGTAGCTGCAGACGCTTCAGCGAATGGCCTAGGCGCTGTTATCTCCCACCAGTTTCCGGATGCGTCGGAAAAAGCCGTTATGCATGCAGCCCGCACACTAACCCCAGCAGAAAAAAAATACAGCCAGATAGAAAAAGAAGCGCTTGTGTTTGCTGTGAGCCGTTTCCACAAGTTCCTGTACGGTCGGAGATTCACAATTCTGACAGATCACAAGCCTTTACTCGCAATTTTCGGGTGGAAATCTGGCATTTCAGCACATTCTGCAAATCGTCCTCAGAGATGGGCCTTAGCACTCTCGGGGTATGACTTCGACATCCAGTACCGACGCACTCAACAATTCGGTCAGACGGATGCCCTATCACGACTCATTAGTGACCAGTTGGCGGCTGAGGAAAACACGGTAATCGCATCTCTGCTAGCGGAAGACCACGCCGAATGTTATCTGATGACCGCAATACGAACTTTGCCGGTATCTGCAACGGACATACAAAATGCTTCTAAGATCGACTCCATCATCAAGAGAACTATGAGCTATGTCACCAACGGTTGGCCGTCTAAGAAATTTGATGGTGATATAAAACAGCTGTATCAGCGGCGGGATTCTCTATGCATTGTAAACGACTGTTTGATGTTCGCGAAGAGAGTGGCTGTGCCAGAATCCCTTCGTGCAAAAGTGCTGAAACAGTTCCACCTTGGTTATCCGGGGGTTAAACGAATGAAATCCATAGCCAGGAGTTATGCGTATTGGCCGCTAATGGATCAACATATAACAGAATTGGTTGGAAAATGTATGCGGTGTCAGCAAGCAGCAAAAGTGAACGCCAAAGTTCCACCAGTTTCATGGCCACAACCTGATCATCCTTGGTCCAGGATACACGTCGACTTTGCAGGCCCGATTAACGGAACCATGTATCTAGTTGTAGTCGACGCCCTTTCGAAATGGCCTGAAATCAACCCTATCATACCGCCAACGACGACTAAAACAATACAAATCCTCACAGAAATTTTCTCCTGAAATGGTATACCAGATGCCATTGTATCTGACAATGGTTCACAATTCACCTCCAGCCAATTCCAATCATTCTGTCAACGACTAGCCATAAAGCACTTACGCTCGCCACCATACCAACCGCAGTCGAAAGAGCAAGCAGAAAGGTTTGTGGATACGTTTAAACGAGCCTTGACTAAGACAAAAGGGGAGGGGACGCAAGCAGACGCGTTACAAAATTTCTTATACGTGTATCGAACAACACTAAATGAGACGTTGCCGGA